AAGCCAAAGTTTTAGAAATCTTTCATAGAAGAGAGTTAACAGATACTGTATGAAGCGGATGAACCAAGAGATTCTTATGTTGACAGTGAAAATCATAGCACTGATCACTGAAAGAACAAAAAACAGAAACAAAGACATGTGTTAGCCTCGAGGGACAGGAATGGGAAGACTGTTAATTTTCATTTACTATTTTATACTTTTTTTTTACAGTAGAAATATTTCTTTAAAAATTTTTAAGCAAAGAATATTGCTTTCTCCCCCTGACTGTCATGGTAGAGATTGATAACCCTTACACGTTTACTGCATTTTGTAGGGATTCCTTGAGTTATTCATCACTGCTACTTCTTTGGCTGTGGTGTTTGGGCCATGGCTGGTAAACAGCGTATATCTGCATGGATACTTCAGATCTGCAAAGTCTCAATAGATGCTCTACCAAACAAAGTTCCAAACAGGAGGGTACACGTGGTTAACAGGAAACTTGGCATCCCCTGGAGCTATTTTTTGTTTAAAAATAGGGTGGGCTGGCTAGCCCCCAAAGGGACTGGCACAGAGAGTAAACTTTACATTTTGGGGTGCATATCCTACACCCCCAGAAAGTAATGTAATGACCATGACGTGAGGACGTGTTGGAGATGAGCCCAGAGTCGTGGTGTCACAGAAATGCTCATCAGCTAAGTGAGAGTGGAGTCATGTCTTTCATTTCTTGACCTGTTGGGCACAAGGCTGCCTGAGGCCCAATCCAGTTCAGTGTTCGGTTAGGCCACAGCAGCAAGGTGAAGGCAAGCTGCTTGTGTGCGATCCTCCCGAGCCAGAATGAATGACTGTCAGTTCTACACGCCCTCTTCCTCCTTTGTCACGTGTCAGTCTCTGCAGCTGTCCCCAGTCCCTTGGTTAGTGCACGGCCATCGTCTCTAGCTTTGACTTCCTGCAGTAACTCCTTGTCTGTTCTTCCCATGTGCATTTTTGTCTGTCTTTGAATCCATTCTCTATTTAGTTGGATGACCCTTTAAAATTAAAAAACAACAACAACAACAAAAACTGATCATGACAATCTCTTGCTTAAACTATTTCACTGGGAAAGCCAAACAAAAAACAGAAAAGGTTTCAGCACCTTCCCATGATCCTTCATATCCTATCTTATTTATGACTCTCGGGGGCTGCCGAATTTTGCTTTTCCCCATTACTTTTAGATCCAATTTTGATATCCTCACACATCAACCTAAGTGACCTTTTGAGTTTCCTCCTAAAGTATGATTTCTACAAACTGGTTTTTTGTTTGTTTGTTTTTGCCTAGAACCCTTCTGCATTTATCCAGCCCACTTTCTTTAGCCCTCTTGGTGTCTCGGCTAACACACAGTCTCCCTCTAGGCCTCTGCTCAAGCAGAACTTCCCAGGAGGCTGGTGCAGGTGATGCCAGCATCCTTGTCCCATAAGGTCCTGCAACTACCTGGTGTTACTAGGTTTATTTTAAGTGTCTTCCTGAGCATCAATAGAAGAGAGGTGCCAGGAGGGGGCGCCCGAGTTTCTCATGCTTGCCACTGCAGCCTCCCTCTCAGTAGGTCACATTCAAGATGCGAAGTGCATATCAAATTAATAATGAATGGTTGACAGAAAGGGTGCCTCGCACAGGGCCACTGCTTGTCGCTCTTGATTGCCTGCTGGCTGCCCAGGCCTTGTTATCTCTGATGCGGCAGCTTTCTGAAGCTGAGGCTGCTCTCTGGCCCCTGAGCTGTTTGAAGTCTGGAGTCTAGCCAACATGACCCTGATTCTAAGATAGGAACAGAGAATAGATCCTTCAAGCAATAGATCAAGGAAGTTGAGGCTGATGGGGGCAGACTTCTGAAACAAGTTACTAAATACATTATTAAACGCACAGGGCCCATTTGGAATCCAATAAGTGCTTTATTTTAATGAATTAGAAATGAATATTTGTGAGCACTTAGAAAGGAAAAAGTTGATCAACATGAGTCATCACTGATTAAAAAAATAACAGGCTATTTTTGTATTTTGGAGTTTCATGGTGACATTTTGGTAAACCTTCCACTCACCCCTCCCACCTTGAATTCTGTACCCTCACAGGAAGCTGGAGATACAGGACACACAGGGTCAAGGCATGGACATCTGGGAACCCCCCCACCCAAACACCTGTCCGTCTGTCCACAATGCAGAGCTGCCTTGTGAGCACACTCCAGTTAATCAGCTTAGACTCGAGGCTTCGGGGAGTTTCGCTGTGGGGCCGGCTCTCCCAGCTCTCCCTCCCCTACTTCCCACCCATCCTTAAACTAAGATGGGTGGTCCTGCAGAGAAGAGCCTGAGCCCACTTCCCTACCCCTGACAGGTAGACAATGCAGCCCATCTACAGAGGCCAAGCCCCGCCCAGGTGTGCTCACTGCAAGTGCCCGTGAAAGGCTGCCCTTGCATTCTAACCCCTTCCTCGGCCCGCATCAATGACCCTCCTCTCTGCTACAGTGTGGCCTGAAGATCAAATGGCTCCAGCTCTGTCCAGGAGCTGAAATAAAATCAGAGCTGTAATACCAGCTCTCCCCTATGGCAATAAGACTCATATGTGGGGAAAAGGAGGAGATATTGGTCCTTTTGGGGGACTCCATTAATATGGCTTGTTGATTAGAGGACTGGTGTGGATAATAAGAGCTAAGGTCCTGTTCTAAGGACTTTATATGTAGCAACTCCTTTCATTCTCACTCAGGTATGGTTCTAATCCCATGAGTTCTCACTTGCATAGGATCGTGCAACCAGCAGTGAATGGATGTGCTGGGATTTATACCAACCACCACCCAAGTTTGGAGATGGAGCCCTCACCCGGGGCACCACCACTCTGCTGCGCCCTCTGGCAGACACCAGCGGAGCCTGGGGTGGAGGTGATCTCTCTAAGGCATTTGACACCTCCTAGACGTCTTGATGGATACAATGAAAAAATAAGACTTGGCAATTGTACAGTTCAGAGGGTTATTAGTAGCTGAATGAAGCAGTGAACCCCGAGCACCCTGATCTCCACCGCGGCAGAGGGAGCTCCGTAGTGGGGTGTCAGCCAGGCCCTTAGCACTCTCAGTTGATCTGCAGAAACAGAAAATACTGGATGCCCAAATCAAACCCAGAGACTCGGAGAGGATGGACCAGGGCTTTCGCCCACAGACCAGCCCCGTAGGCACAGGTGTGGCTTAACAGTGACACAGCAAAGCCGTTTCAGTCTGCTCCTTGCTCTGGGGTCAACAGTGAGGTGTATTTGAAAAATGATCGATGAGGTCAGGCTGTGCCCACTGTTTTTAAAAATTGGCTTAGGCTGATTGCATTGACTGGGCAATTAATTTAAATAACGACTAAAGTTTTTGAAAGGGCAGAGTCAGGTTTTCCTCAAAGGGAAAAGAGATGGCTTGGATGAGAAACATTTGAAACCGTATCACAGGAAGATAAATGGGAGTAACTGAGGATGTTTACTCCTCAGAAGAGGATATTTAGTTAGGATGGGAGGAGGGCTGTCTTAGAGAACCTGAAGGGTTATATTTTGGATGTGACTTAGGTACTTTGTGTTGTTTGCAGAAGGCAGAGCTGGGAGCAAAGTTTACAGGGAGGAGGGGACGCAGACTTCTCTGTCTACTCTTGAGACAATCATAACAGCTAATATGTACCAAGTGCTCACCATGTCTGCTCTAGAGTTAAGGTCTGTGTATGTTGGCTAGAAAGTTGTGGATCAAATTCATACTGATCAGCATGAGCATCTCAGCATCATTAGTGAAGGATGCTTTTACCGACTGCTTATTAAATTACCTCATTTGATCGTTGCCCTGTTGACTGTTATTATTATAGCATTACTGTTTTTATAGATGAGAGAATAGAGAGGTTAAATTACTTTCCTGGAATCATCCTGATTTAAGTTATTGGCTTATAACGATCTGGACCCAAATATTCCAGCTCCTAATATTTCTTCCTAAGGTTATGCACATAGTAAGGGGTCAGAAGAGCCCTTCATTGGAAATATAATGTGAGCCACTAATGAAAGTCATATATGTCATCTCACTTTTTCTAGTAGTCACACTGAAAATGTAAAAAGAAACCAGTGAAATTATTTTAAGATACATATGGTATAAATGTAGACCTTAACCCAATGAACTCATTACATCTAAACTACTATCATTTGTTGAAAGGATGTAATCAACACTAAAATTATTAACAAGCTATTCTACATTCTGTTTTCCACACTAAGTCCCCTATTTTCTCCTCACTGGACATCTCAGGAGTAGCCACATTTCAGGTGGTCAATAGCTCCTTGGAACTCTTGGTTGCTGCTAAGGAACAGCTCACACAGCATTCAGATTTCCACCTCCTGGGGGATGGGGGGTGGTTGTTGGGATTTAAAAAGGAGCTTTACCTTTCTATCTTCAACTCTATTGCCTCTCTGCCCCCAATTTACTACCTTCTTTGGCAATCAAAGGGAATGCTTTGCACCTGCCTTTGCGTTTTCTGGTGGAGCCGATGTAGATATTTCTCAATTTGGGGAGGACAGGTGTTTCTCCTGCAACCTTCCAACAAGCTCATTTCCCTCGTGGCAGCTAAACTGCGAGTTAGCATGCTTGATTTCTGCTTTGAAAATGACTGAAGTAGGTTGCATGAATGAAATAATGTACCCTAAATATCAAATTGGGGGTAGAACATCCTGCTCCGTGCCAAATTATGCAAAATTTTGGGAGTCTCTGGCTTAACTGATCAGAAATAAATCCTGTAGTCCATAAACGCCTAGGTGAGGGTTAGCGGAAGGAAACAGTCTGTGGTTATTTTTGCCACGGGGATCAAGGGTGGAGGCAGAGCGTCAAAACAAACACACCAGCCTCTTCAAGTAGCTTTAAAACAACCCACCGAAGTTTCCCCTCAAAATTGCAAGCCAGCTGCCAAAAACGAAGGCATGCAGGAAGATGTCACGCGCTCTGGGTCTCCTGGAGGTGGCGCTCTGAGGGTGACGAAGTTAATTAGTGCCAGCAAAATGCCGCGTGTGAGCTCATCCGAGAAGTCAGGCTCTGCACACATATTATTTATAGCAGATCTGAGGCGTGCACAGTGTTTGACATTTTCTTTTTTTTAAGTAGGGGGACTTCAAAAAGTCGTGGGCACTGCCCTCACATCTTCCCCACCCCCTGCCCTGGGGACCACGTGCGGTGGGCAGGCACCAGGGCGCGGGCAGGGGGCGAACGCACCAACCACGCGTGTCCAGGCGCAGGTGCCGCGGCGTCGGCTCAGGAGGAGAGTTCGCGGCTGATCTCGGGATGCCTTGCAGATGCACAATGTGTCCCTGGCCAGCAGGAGGAAGGAAGAGGAAGTGAGAGCAGCGGCAGCCGGCGGCGCACAGCCGGCCGACCCGGAGTGTAAGTGCGTGTGCTCCGCCGAGCGCGAGCGGGCGAGGATGGGCGCAGGGTAGAGGCAGACCACCCACACCGCCCCGGCCCGAGCAGGGCCACAGAGCCGTCCGTCCGCCTTCAATGGTCCCGGGTCGCCAGAGCTCTGTTCTTGGGGAACCTTCGCCGCCACAGCTGCTGTCCGGCGACCCTGGGCAGGTTCGTAAAGTTTCCTGGGCTGGCTCCGCGCCCTGACTCGCTGACCTCAGAGCTACCGGGAAGGGAGATGGGGCTGGGGCAAGGAGGAGGCGTCCTGCTCTGGGGGACTCTGGTCGCCGCGGAGACACTTTTGTTTCCTCCCTGGGGGCCCCCCGGCTCGGGTGGGGGTGGCCGCGGCGCTCTGCGGGGTGAAGGCTGCGGACGCGCTGAGGCGCTCCGCAGTTGGGGAAGTCTGGGCAAAGGGGGCAGCGAGAGCGGGGGGAGGGGGCCCGCGGGATGAAGCGTAGGGCCCGGGGCCCGGGAACCCGCAGAAACATTTCGGTCAAGGCCGGCTGGAGGGGGCCGCCGGAAGACTGCGCTACTGGCGCCGGGGAATTGGGGACGGGGGAGTGTGGGTTTGGGGGCTTGGAGACCCGAGAAGCTGCGCCAGAGGAGAAACTGGCGGCTCGGACTCCCGGCTTTTCTCGGGCACTGCCAGAAGGGAGGGAATCCCCCTGCAAGCGCGCTCCTGGTAGGGGGTGGTGATAGGCTAGGAGGATGGAGGGCCAGGAGGGACAGGAGAGGTGGTCGGGGCAGCTGGGAGCCCCGGGGACCACTGTTAGTAAATAGCCGCCTTTGGGGACACGCTGAAGTCCCCGCTGGGACAGGGAAAGACGGTGGGGGGCTTCGATGCCAGAGACCAGCATGGGAGAGGGGGCGCACCGGGCGCGCCTTCAGAGAAGGGGGCAACGGAGCTCTGGCGACCCTGCAGCCTCAGCGCAGAGGGGCGGCCGAGATCGCAAGAGTAGCTTTGAGGAAGAGGAAATACAGAACTCAGGCTGCCCGGGGTGCGCGCGTGTGTTTGGGGCTGGGAAGTCGGTGTTGTGCCGCGGGTGCGCGCCAGAGCAGCGAGTGTGTGTGTGTGTGTGTGTGTGTGTGTATGTAAGATCGATCAATCAATCAATCTAAAGGGGCTCAGGAACCCGGGCCTCCCCATTGAGTGACCCTCCCCCTCCTCGGGAGGGGGCTAGCTTTTGAAGTTGGCAGCTGAGGGCCAGGGTTGCTGGTGTTAGGTTCTATGTGACCTAAAGCCCAAGTGCTTTGCCCCCAGTGGTGACCTGGCTCTGGGGGCCTCTGGACAACCCCTGAGACCCCCGACACTCGAGACTCATGGAACATACTTTGTGATGAGCTGTGTCCTGACCATGCAACTCCTAACACCTCTGGCCATGCCTATGGCGGACTTAATTCATTATACAGTATTTTAAGGTTTTAGAGAATCTAAGACAAGGGTTTCTGCCTCAGGAGGCAGAGGTTGTAAGCTCCCCGTTGAGGGCTACCAGGGGCTTAGGGGTAGGGGGCAGTGAAAGAAGTTCTGTCTACAAAGCATAATTCATTAATGAGCTGTATTTATGTAACGACTCTTGGAGGGTAACTTTGAGATGCAGAGAGACTGTTAGATGGAAAGGGCCGGTTGGCAGCAACTGTTATTAAGGGCTTCCTCTGGTCATGATCTTCCATATTATCTCACCTCTGTGCTTACTTCCAAGGTTGTTTCAAGGATTAGTGTCTCTTCCCCCAGTTCACAGAACTGGGGGTGGTAAATTAGAAAGGCAGAGTCCCTGCTCTCCTGGAGCTGACCTTTTCTCCTTTGAGCTGACCTTCTGAACCTCTGCTCTTTTCCTGTGGAGCGTTTGCTATGCCTCTCGGGTTGTGGTTAAATGCGCATGTTGCTTTCTTTCCTACTCTATTTATTACCCAAAGAAATTTTTTTTTAATTAGGTGTACTGGTGCTTAGGAAATTGTGAGGGAATGACCTGGGGTACTGGAACTGCGCAAGGGTGTTGGGGTCAGGAAGGAAGGGCTAGGGGAGAGGCTGGAGGGTGTCAGGGAGGGGCAGGCCAGGAGGCAGGCCCAGACCTGGGCTGAACAGAACTGAGCTCCTGGAGCAGCCACTGGGCTGCCGGGTGGGCGGTCCCATTGGTGGCCACGCCCACCAGCCCCCATAACCCCTCATCCAATCTCCCGCCCTTCTTAATTCAGCCACTGTGGCTGCCTCATAATCCTTTTCACCAAGTTCTCTCCCCAGGGCCTTTGCACAGCCTAGGCCTTTAGCACGAGGAGCTTTCCCCTACCTGTCCAGATGGCTTCCTGTCTTGCTTCCTGAGGTCCCTGGCCAGTTATCAGCTTGCAGGAGGCCTCCCCTTAATACTGTCTATAAAATAGCAACTTGCCACGCCCTGGTCCTCCAAGTTACTCAGTTTCCCCTGTGAGTACTTAACAGCCCTGGCATTATATATGGATGTGTTTATTTGATTATCATGTGTCTCTCCCATGAGGTGGAATTCCATGAGGGCAGGGACCTTCTCTTGTTTATAGGTCCAGAACCTAGACGGCTTCCCAGCATAAAGATACTGACTAAATACTTATTGACTGAGTGAATAAGAACAGTGAAAGGACAACAAACTCACAGTTATTAACAACCACACCTAAAACAAAAGCAAACTAAAAGGACAGCTAGATCAGGAGTGGAAACATAGAAATGAAGATCTCAAGGAGGGTTAGCAACAGGGGAGTGGGAGGAGGAGAAAGGGGGAGAAGGTACAGAAAATAAGTAGAATAGATGGTAGGTAGAAAATAGATGGGGGGGAGGGCAAGAATAGCATGGGAAATATAGAATCTAAAGAACTTGAGACACATGGACATAAACTAAAGGGGAGGGTAATGGTGTGGACGGGGGGTAGGGTGGAGGGGAATGAAGGGGGGGAATAGAACAACTGTAACAGCATAATCAATAAAAAAAAAATGCGTATTATGGGAGGGGCTCACCAGGGAACTAACTACACCAGCCAAATAAATACTGGAGCATGAGTGGCAAGCAAGAAGCCCAGGTCCCAGACTTGCGCTTTTTCTGCCCTGTGCCCAGCGGCTGTTCTTGCAGACCCCCTGTCTTAGAATTTCAGACTGAAGAAAGGAACAGAGAGGTGTTTCCTCGGGAGAGTGGTAAACAGGTACAGATGGTCACACCAGATCTGGTGTTTGTTAGATACTCCCCTAGGAAGAGGGAGGCGTACAATGTATCCCGTACAATGTATCCCGCTGCACTCTCCCCGCGGGCAGGGAGTGTGGGGGCAGGAGGAGAAGAGGGAGGAAGGAGGCTCACGCAGGGGAGAAGAGGAACGCCCAGAGGAAAGATGAAAGAGTGAAAACAGATGAGGGTCTTCCACCGGGCTACGAAACCACAAGCATTTATTAAGTTACAGTGTTCAGCTAGGACAATGCTTACGTGTTTTAAAGTCATTTACCCCCCTGTGGGTGTTTGGTGTGAATGGGTGGGAAAGGTGGGGGGCAAGTGCTTTGAAGCCTTTGCAGAGAGGATGTGGGTGGGGGGCGTGCCAAGGAGCTCAAGGGTGTGCACACTTTGCTTATGTTACCATCTTTCTCAACACCAAAGGTGTAGAGATAATCGTTCCCATGGAGGACTTCCCCTGTCCGGAGGGGGAAAGACAGTCGGTACCCTTCAGGTTTGTCAGTGAAGCCTGCAGCCCCTTTTCAATGCCTGGAACCATCCAAGTGGATAGATTGGCTTACCAGACATGCATTCTGTTGAAGCTGGAAAAGGTGGGGACTTACCGCCTGTACATCATGGAGCCTCGGTGTTTGCCCTAGTTACGCAACTCCGGTTGTTTCCGTCTAGTTAACTAGAGCAGTGTCTCTGGAGCGTGGGGCTATCACCTGGGAGCGGATCATGATAGCCAGTGAGCAGGGCCAGACAAGTGGTTTAAAACACAGAATGGAAGAGACTGCAACGGAAAATACAGTGTTTCAGAAAACAGACATCGAAGCCTAACGTCCAGTGTAAATCGCCTAATGTGGTCAGGGTGAAAAAAATCTGGTAATGATTCTGAAGGCCCTAGGAATCCACCTCTTTCACCAATTTGCCAGAGATTCTGACGAACGTGGTTCCTAGTGCCAGACTTTAAGAACTACTTGGCTGGCTCCCTCACCTTACAAAACGCTATTGGTTTTCTCTCCTGCGAGAGAGGTGCTTTGCAAATGTTGAATCAGATGCAGCAAACGCATCAGCCACCGACTTAACTTCGAAATGCTTCTGTTTCTGGAACTTGATGGTGTGCCAGGCCCTGAATGCTGCCGTCCTGGAGGAACTGGAAATCCATGTGCTGTGATTTTCACTGTAGTGATACGGAGAACCAGTAGCTTCATCTTTAGTAACTCTTTAGCCTTAGAATAAAATGACTGAATATATTCTTTTCTGGCCACATTTTAATTAAGAGCGTTTGGGGGTCTTTGGAACTTCGCTCAACTTTTTTCTTTCTTATTTCACACCTAGTATTACACTGTTGGCATGATTTTAATTACTTTCAGAGTTTTTGCAAAGACTGTAGTAACGTCTTCTGGTGGCAGCCACGCTGCCGCGCAGCAGAACTGGGTTAAGCCTTGGAACTGACCCAGGCTTGGGACTGGCTGCACAAAGAAGAAAGGGACAGAAAACTTCAGCACCGTCCCCAACATAAGGACTTTGCAGGGGACAGAGGGTGGTTCCTGTGAAATGTGTGTGGCCTGTGACAGCGTTTGAATATGTCTTGTGTGGCCTTTTTCAGTGCAGCAGAGCCAGCTTGAATGCCCGAGGCCCAGGCCGGTTGCAGTGTTCCGTTTTCTAGATAATTGCAGTGGTCTGAGTGCTAACGGTTAGAACTTATCAGTGACAACCAGAACTGAAGCCTGCAAAACACTAGTAGGTTATATGGTGATGTTAACTGCTGACTTAGTGCTATGTTTTCTGAACTTGAACAGAATAAGTGCAGGGACCGGTGGAGCAGAGTTTCGTCACTGCTCTAAGGTGGGTGAACAGCAGAGTACCCAATAGGCGTCCGTGTGGGGGAAGCAATGCTGCGAGCCCATCCAACAGAGCAACCACAGAAGCCCACGGGGGAGGGCTGGGGAGAGAAGTTAGTCACGTGTATAAATAAAAGATGATTCTCAGTCTGTGTTCTAGGCAC